ATATATATATATATAATATATATATGAGTCAGTAAATCAAACTAGTTAGTCTTCACAATTCACAAAAAAGCTGAAAAAAAAAAACTATTTACTGTATTGTGTCTTCGGCTAGGTGCAAGGGCTAACATATAATGCAACATGTTGATGTTTGGTGTACTCCTCCCAGGAAACTTAAAGTGCAGCAAATCGAATATTCTAATAGAACACTGCACTAGAATGCATTGGTGTGAACAGACTCTACCAAAAACAAAGCGGAGGGAATTCAGTAAAGCATTTGTAAAACTTTTCTGGTGGTGTGGCCCCTTTAAAAAGTCCTGTGTCTTATTCATAAAGACCCTGTAACATTTTAGTTAGAGAAATACCACCAGTTAGTGTGGGGAAACTCCAGAGAGTGAAGCCGCAAAGAGGTGTATACGTCTTTGCGTGCAACACCCCCTAACCTGTTAGTGGTTGCTAGGATGGTTGCGCCTACGCATTGTCACTGGTTGCTAGGAGGCTGTTGACTGTGTAGCCTACAGCGTCCTAGCAGCCAGTGATGCTGTGCATTCACCAATATCCTAGCAACCAGTGAGGCTGTGTATCTGACAGTGTCATAGTAAGCAGTGATGCAGGGCTGCACATTGACATTGGGTGATGCTGGGAGACTAGGTCCTCATCAGGTCTGCCTTACTTGTGATTGACAGGGGAGGGCAACTGGCGGATTCCATAGGCACTACACAAACCCACTAATGGCTATGGAATCTAACCCTTCCCCCATCAGGCTCTTTCCACGGTCAAGCTAAAGTGAGGTGGTGGTGGGCACTAGCAAAAATAATGAGGGTTGACTACCATATCACCTTTTTGGAGCTGTAAAACGCTGAGAGCACTTCAAAGTCTAGAACTGTAGCACTTGACATTTTCTCTGCATAAAAATTCTTGACTTTAACATACCTAGGGTACACTGTGCTCAAAGTTGCTTGACAGAGCATCTGTAACTAACCTGAAGATTGAAATCCCTATATAAATTAGTCAGACCAAGTAGCATTTGTCCCAAGAAGGAAAGTTTGGGATATTAATTGCACTTTGTGTGCTCAGAACTGTAAGCTCCTCATTGGGCTTCTTTCAGGGCTTGTTCACACCAAATCCGGACAAGATCTGCATGAGTTTCTGCACATGTAGTGCAGTGTTTTTTTGCCGTGTTTTTGCCACGTTCCGGGCAGTTTTGTTTCTATTTTGAAATAATTGTATTTATTTTTTGCCTAAAATGGGCTTTCAGGGCATTCACATGTGTTTTTGATGCGTTTTCATGCGTTCCAGAGCAGAAAAAATAGGGCATGCTGCAGTTTTTCCACATGCTCTGGAACTGAATGCTGTGGTGTGAACTAGAGCCCAAAATACCATTGGAATACATTGGATGCATTTTTGATGCATTCTGTAACTGCTCTGCATCGGCTCCGCACTTGGTGTGAACAAACTCTTAGTCACTGCTAAGATGGCATTCAGCTGAGGGCAAAGGCGTTTCCTGCATGCAATTACATAACAGTTTGGCTGAGGAGATAGATACTATTTGACATTCTTGCTGTCTAAACAAATACAGTTCCAGGTTAGTGGAACCTTTGTGATTTTCCTATCCTTTTCATAATGGAAACTGCTAGGGATAGGGCCCCTTTTCCCTTTCCAAAGCAGTACTTTTGCATGGCCTCTGGCACCCAGTAACATTGAAAAGGCACCTAATTAGCTGCTGCCTTTTGCTACCTATGAAATCCTGTTTTTAGCAGAAGGTTGTTTAAAACATGTAATAATAATTCTATACAGGCTGTTGCTACAGGGAACCAACCCAAAACGTCAGATAATGGCAGATGGAAAACAATGCATCATTTGTGCACGTGGACACTACCTAGCCGGCACAGCATAAGAAGCTATAAAATCCTATTCATGTGTTATGGATGACCTTTTCTTCTTTTTAATAGATTACCTTATGTCTCAGAACGTCTACGTCTATGGAAGATGTAATTGTGATAGTCACTTATCTACAAATGTTACAGAAATATCCAAGAATGAAATGCATTTTAAATAACTTTTAATAGATACAAAAAAGAGATATGGGTTTTCAAAAGGTTCAGGGTACGTTCACACCAGATGCAGTGCCTTCCAGTCTGATTCTGTCCGGGACGCATTGCATCGCATTGTGGCCGGCTCACTTTTTTTGTGGGGCAGGAGGAGACGTGGCGGTACATTGAAGTGAATGGCACCGTAGCCACGCCCTCCAGCCGTAATGCGATAGCCCGCACAGGATTGCAAGGTCCGGTGCGATCAAAATGCTGCAAGCATTATTTTGATCGCACCGGACCGCAGGCACAATATGCCTTGCGATCCCGTGTGGGCGATCGCATTGCGGCCGGACGGCGTGGCTACGGTGCCATTCACTTCAATGGCCCACCACGCCACCTCCTGCCCCACAAATAAGTGAGCCGGCCACACTGCGATGCAATGCGTTCCGGCCAGAATTGGACCGGAACGCACTGCATCTGGTGTGAACGTACCCTCATACAGTGTATTCCATACCAGCTTGCATGTGGCTTGCAAAAAAAGACCTTTTTTTAAGGCATTTCTTCACACTATCTAGACTAGTATACACTGGTAGATATTCCCTCCATTGCCAAATAGACTAACCTACTAATATTAATTTGAGGATGGAGAGTGTTTCCTAAAGTGTACAGTATTTCCATTTTTCATCCAAATTGGGATAAAACTTACTTTGTGTTTTTTGTCAATAAGGTGAGATTTAACAGCAAAAAAGTTACACTGCATAAAACATTGAAATATTAATTGGCACAACCTAGTGATATCTCTAACACATTGACAAGTTGAACCCAACTTGTCAAGTTTGAACCCAAACATCCTTTTTTTATTTTGTACATTATTCATGCAACTTAATATAAGCAGTACTTACAGAACACATTACTTAAAGGGTTTCTAAAGCATCCGTTTTTTTATATATCTACTAGCAAGGAGTAGATATATGCAAAAAGTTTTTTTGTTTTTTTTTAAACAGCGGTTTAAACTTACCTTGCATTCGCCGCGCACTCCCGTCAGAAAATCCGAAACTGCTCGGGCGGCCGCAAAGCATCTTGGGGCGGGCGCATGTGTAGTTTGGATTTTCGCCCGGGAGACAAGGAGAGACGCAAGGTAAGTCTATGGACGCATGCAGACACCGTGGGACAGGAAGTGCCAGCAAGGACCGAGGAGTCGGCGCTGGATCGGAGAGCCGCCGCACCGCTGGAGGTACAGATGAAAACATCAGGAAAGAAAAAGAGGATTAAGAGACATCATTTAAGGTAAGTGCTGACATTAACATTGGGGGGAGGGGGACAAAATTGACTTTAATTTGGGGCAGCAACAAGGACCTGCAAGGGCATAAAAAGTATCCTGTAATGTTTCCCAAAAAAGTAGAAAAGAAATACATGTTCAGGGAGAACATGAAAAATGTGCCTCTAATTTAGTTAACCATTATACCATTGTCTATATATGTCTGCTTTTATTTAACATTTTTATGTAGTGCTTAGTGTGTGTTTTTATGGGGCGCGGGGGGAGTTGAATGTATTACACAACTTATTTTCAATAGAGTTGTGTACTCATTGATTTAATTTGACTGCTAGTATCAAAATATGAATCGGGAGCTTTTATGTACTCTTGCATACAACTATTTATTGTCGCTGACTATGGAGCGTTGTACTGATATTTCAGAATAAACTAACCTTTAAGCTATAGTGCAATCTCCAGGATCTCGAATTGCTGTTTTCTATGTATTTATGATAGTTATCGGATATTCTGCAGTGCTCTAAAACTCCATGGGGTCTCTTTATGAAAAAATTCACATAGCTATTCGTCCACTGAAACTGTATATATATTCTCCGCACCATATGGTGGTCATAATGCTGTATTTCCAGATTTACTCTACGAATAATCCTATTTTTTTTTACTACTGACCAGAAGAGAAAATAGCCTAAGGACATTTGGTTTTTGCCCCATTAACACATGAGCTGATTAATTAGCACTAGGGATGCACCGAAATTTCGGCCCCCGAAACATATAGGCCGAAAATGGCACTTTTTGAAAAATGCCAAAAGTGCCATCTTTCGGCCGAAATAGAAGTGCATCCCAGGTTTCTCTTCTCCCCGCTGTCCCAGCGAGGAGGAGACAAACTGTCACAGAGACTGAGTTGTGTGGGGGAGGAGAGCGCAATGAGCTGCCGTCATCTCTCCGCCCACACTGGTCAGCCTACTGTGACAGATTAGGAGAGCGGCAGTGTGGGGGCGGAGGCAGCTGTCAAAGTAGGCCGGGCCACTCGCTCAGCCTCCTGTGACTGTGAGTCAGGATGGAGAGCGGAGCACAAACACAGTCAGTGATCGCTGAGTGTTTGTACATAATTGAAGACGTAGTATGTTGACTATAGCCTCAATTATGAATGAATGGGAAGTAATCTACATCACCTCCTGTTCATTCACGATTGTGGTTATAATAAACACACTCTGTCCTCATGTTATGAATGAACAGGAACACTCAGTATAGAGGATTCATGTTCATTTATAACAGGGGCTGCAGAAAAAGAGATTGAGGACTCAATCTCTTTTTCTATATAAAAAGGGAAATATCAGGGATCTGTTTAGACCCTTAATATTTCCCCAAAATGTGAAAATATTTGGAAAAAAAAAAAAATTCGGTTTCGGCCTGACATTTTTTTTGCATTTCGGTGCATCTCTAATTAGCACAGAACAAATGTACCTGCAATTTCAATGGATGAATAGCTATGCAATTTTTTTTAATAAATAGAATCTCTGGTATCTCAGTGTCTTTTCTTTTTTTCTTTTTAAATTCAAAAGTCAACTTTATTGTGTAAATACACGATACATCTATGGGTATAAACCATTCTGTATACAAGCAGTGTAGCATTAGTGATATGCCCCTGGTGGGAGGGCAATCATCATAGGGCTAAAAACAGCCTCGACTGGCATATCATGATGTATAAGCATTATGTACTCGTATGTAGATCAAACTTTTCTCAGAAATAAGCACATCATGCTTCTCTTATAGCATCTAAAGTATAATATCAAAACCAACAAGAGAAGTAAGGCAATCGTGTTTTGATCCGTGTTCCCCCTCGCTACGGATATCGAAACAATAGGGTAGATGGTGCATAAGTAGCAACTAATTAAGTGGGGAGGAGAGGGGAGGTATACACATATCAAGGCAGAGTAGCGGGCGGGATAGAAGGGGGGAGAGGAAGGGAGGAGGGGGGGTTGGTCCAGGGGGGTTATGAAAGTCCAGAAAGAGACGGAAAGGTGGTGGAGCCGATGCGCTCACGGTAGGCACATCACCTCAAGGTAGGCGTCCGTGTCTCTATAAGCAGTCCAAGGCCTCTCAGTGTATTTTCTTAGCAAGGATTACAAAGTAAGGCAGCAAGATAACATTTTTAAGTGTTTGTCAAGTAAAAAACTTTTTTTTTTTTTTTAGTGTTTTTGAGAGCCGGGAGAGATTAGAACATGTGTCTGATTTTTACAGCTAACCAGTGTTCCGTTGGAGAGATTTTCCCTTACTTACTGTCAACACAGAAACAAAAATGCATTATTTTTTTCTAGAGGAGAAAGCAAGAACCCATGTCAGATTCATTGCAGTCTACATCCATGTTTAAAATTTTCTCTCACTTTTCTCATACCCTAATCAGCCTAATAAGTGAGCACCATTTGGTGCGAAATGTGTCCAGGATTTGACTGCCATCTCGCCATTGTTTATGCGGCGGTTTGGAATTATGGCATAAAAACACCTCCCATTCAGAACGATATTCCCGGGATCAGTCATTATTTGCACCAGTGCAAGACCTTGCAGACTTGTTGTTTTATTGCACCTGATTTAAACTGATTTAGTGGTTAGTGGTGAGTGCTTGGTCCCCGGTTCATATCCTGGTCAGGACACTATCTGCAAGAAGTTTGCATGTTCTACCTGTGCTTGGGTGGATTTCCTATGGGTACTCCAGTTTCCTCCCACACTCCAAAGAGATGCTGGAAGGTCAGTTGTCTAAATCAGCGCTGTATGCATGTGAGATAGGGACCTTAGATTGTAAGCTCAAGGGTAGGGACTGATGTGAATGTGCAACTATTTAAAGCGCTACATACGTTGTCGGCGCTATAGAAATACATGTAATAAAAAAAATTCAGTTGGCTTTAAGAACAAATCTGGCAGAAGCATATCCTTTATCTGCACCTACATTTATTTCCAACAAAAAGAAGGAAATCTAAAAACATTTTTTATCATACCAATGCTTTTTGCCTGATAATTCCTGCATTACATGTGTATGGTATGTTCAGCCAGGAGTTGTCACTGTGTTTTTTAAAGCTGTTTGGTGCCTTAGATGAGCTTTCTCAATTTTTTTTTTCTGTCTCTGCATCTTTTAAAAGTATGTAAAATCTCAAGGCACCCCAGATG